AAACACGCCCCATAATCACAGCTCTATGGAGCAGTATCAGACTCATATTCTGTATAGAATTGAGTCGGACTACGTCAGGCTATTAATGGGGGGGCTCTGGTTCAAATACCAGTTATTTACAGGATGATATTTGGAATAAAAACTTTACTTCTTTTGTGTTATTGTCACACATCTTCTCGGTCCTTATACAGAACAAACATGGCTGGGCCAAAGAGGACCTGACAACAAGTCGAGATTAAATATACAAACATTTTGAAGACTGGATAAAATGTTGAATAATGTACAAAGGACTTTTGCCAATGACTTAGAAGGTGCCTGCATACATACTTCATCTTGCTTATTTTAGTTGTACTATGAGAACAGCCAGATACCCATTCATCAAAGGCTGAAAAGATTAAACATTTATGGTGATCAGCAAAAAGAACGTCAAGTGTGTTTGTGCCTATAAGCACCTGTTCATGGGCTACAGAGCGGAGGTGAGGAATAACCAAGGCTAGAGTGTTAATTTCAATAGGGCCAACAAACTCTTTCAGAAAGGTGATGGTAAACTCAACATATCCTGATGGTGTCCCACCATCAGTCGGCCCTCAATTTAAACAAAGGGAGGTCTATTTTAGAAGAGGTTCATGGAGTAAATTTGAGCTTAATTTGAGATCCAATTAAGGATTTTTTCAGTTCAACATACAACACTTGGTGTATAGCGATACTCGGTGCAGGCTGCTCTTCTCAAAAACTCGCTTATGTAACCTGAGAGGGTCGAATCTATCGCTGAATGAATCATGTGACCCAAAGCACGGCCTCAAACATGAGCGCTAACTAAGCTAAAAGTTGTTGTTAGACAACAAAGCAGATTTAGCCCTTATCATATCAGACTTTAAGTTCTCTGATTTAGTATTTAATCTAGATGGATGAATTTGGCGTTGTCATTACTTATCAACCTGCTGCTCCAATACGCTCTGCTAGCTACAGTGGCTGATGCATGCTAACAGCATGTAAATACACAGTTTAACACCAAATAAAAAAAAAAATCCTTCATAATCAAAACTCAGACTAGAAAACATGGAATTGAGAATAACACATAAAAGCAAAAAACCCATGCCGATGATAATATTGCTAAGGAAAATAGAGAGGAATAAAGGGCAAATGTTCTGCACACATACTCATACTAGAAATTAATAAATAATGCTAAAAAAACAAACAACCAAAGTTCATGCAAAGGAAGAATGCTGCAAGTGGCCAAATAACTGCAAGTGAAGAAAAGCTGTGAACCAGCAATGCATAACGGAGATGCTCCAAAACACTAGGGGGAGAAAAATCATAATCTGTTTTCTTTTTTTTTTCCGGTTTTTTCTAGACTGCAATATCCTAACCTTCCTTTAGGGGAGAGTTCACTTTGTAGATCATGACTGTGAGACAAACATTTGAAACTCTAGAAATGTAAAGCTCTGACCAACTAATGCAACTTTTTGCCCTGTCTAGATTTCTTTTTCTTTAAGAACTATTCACCTTAAGGCCTATACATGTTTCTACAGAACAGAGAGATTAGCTCTCTCTCGCAGAAGGACACTGCAGCCCTGGTTTGGGAGTTAGTGCAGCTTGTCCTTGACTCATCATCCAGACAGAACCTTTTTTGTCAGTACTATAAAACAAAAGCTGCACTATGAGGGACCTTAAAGGGTTTTTCAATAGTTGGGACTAAAAATTCTTTTGAAGTATGAAATACACAACCAGAGTGAAACTTGTTATTTTTATCACCACCTCAAATAAATAAATAAAAAAATCTCTGTTCTTGAGGAGCATTTAGGAAGAGGATGTGTGCTGTGTCTTGAACTATTTTCAAGTTATATTCGTCTCTTGTAGGTTTGGGTCACGATGTCCAGCACAGATGGTAAAAGGATTCATTTTTACTGGTTACTGCTTAATTGTAAAAAAAAAAATCCCAATTTGCCCTCAGCAGCTCTACTAATCTGTTTCAGTAGCTCCAATTTCTTCTTTGGTCTCTTGTAGCCCAAGCATGAGTTTATAAAGATTCTTCAATTTTTTTGCTGTATCGTCTTGCTTGTTGATAACTGATAGAACGATAGAATAGATTAAAGTGGTAAATTATTAAAGTAGCCAGCAAACGGTGCGACAAGTTGCCTTGTTCGAATTAATATTTTTGAAAGGACACCTCTCTAGATCTGTCATTATCCTTACATACAGAAAAAGAGCTAAGTTCCTTAATCAATTAGAAAAATACAACTCATTGTATATGTAAACATACCAATATGCTGCAGATATTTCTATCATATTTGACTTTTCTCACACAGTCCAACCTTATGCTGCATTTCAAGAGAAAAGTGGGTTAATATAAGAATTGGATACTTTTTTCTCTTCAAACTTCTATAAATAATTTAAATTTGGAGCAGAGCTGACATTGTGCTGTGTTTTGGAGAGCAGTGTCTGTAAATGTAGAAAGTAGAGGGAAAACCTCCCTGATGATCACAGGTGTTGGAACGATCTAAGCTGACACAATGGAGCAGACAGAGGAAGAGTGAGTAGAGGGCCCCTCTCAGAGCTTTGAAGTGACTGATTTAGTGATCACCAGATATTTTCAACATAATCTACAACAGATTCAAGCAGGAATACTTGGTCGTCTAACATTCTTTGGTTCTTTATCTCAGTTGTCATAATCTATGATTAATGTGTTTCTGAGTCCTGTTTTACAAGGTTTGAAAATGAAATCACCTGATATTCTCAGCACAGCAGTAGCTTTAGAAAGTAAAACAAATGTGTTGTTTTGTGTTTGTGTGATAAAGGAACATTGCACAAAGTTCACATTGGTTTTTAGTCTCCTTTGTTTTATCACTGAGGGCCCAGCTCCTGTAAAGGTTGGTGGCTCACGATTGGAGGACACGCTGAATGCCACTGGTCCCTTATGTTTGATTAAATAACATACACACTTATGCCCTGTTTGTTTCGTCAACAATTCAATGTGAAGCATTAGAACTACTCAGTCTGTGGTTGTGTTAAATTTTAACATTTAACAGGGGGGGTGTATGTTGGGTTTTGCTATGCTATTTATAAATAGGTTATATCCTGTTGTATTATTAATCTCTACAAATACTAAGTGAGTTCTTGAATTACATTCTGTCGTCTCTACTTCTCCAGGTTTTCTCGCCTTCGCAGCCTTAACCTCTCCAACAACCATCTTGGTCAGTTCCCGTTGACCATCTGTGACATCCCTACCCTGACAGAAGTCAACCTCAGCTGTAACTACCTGGACTCTGTCCCCAGCTCCGTGGGTGCCATGAGCAAGTAAGAAAAGACTGCAACTTACACGCAATCAACTAGAAGAAAATAATTTTTTTTTTTGTTAATGTGTACATTTTGAAAAATCTGAATTTTAAGTACTGTCAGGGGGTTAATATACTCCTGCCTTGTTTTAATTATTCTTTTCTTTTTATTTGTTTACCTTCCCCTCTTTTCTGTTAGTTACTTTAGATACACTTTTGTGCCTCAATGTCAAAGTTTGCATAGGCAAAGCTGAGTTCCCATGCATAATAAGCATGCACTTAGCATTTTTCAACCCAATGGTAAAGATTTCTCTAATTTCTTTTGATCTACTTTTTATTTATTTATTTTTTCTTTTCTGTCTACGCAAAACCCATCATTGTATTGTTTTCATTGAATTCACCTTAATCTTGACCTGATCAGTGGGTGATAACACAATTTATCCTTTCTACTCTGATGCATGTTTCAGTTTGTGACCTAACTTTTTAATAATTTATGAGTTTGACCTGCACAGTTTCTGATAATCTCATTAGCGCTGTTGGTAATCGAATGAAAATAGTAAATTATGTTAATTTTATCACATAGGTATACCTCTCATTTTAAAATACTTTATAGCTTATTATATTTTTATTAGGATTTTATCTGGTAGACCATTAAAAAGTAACACACAGTTGAGCCATACAAGAAAAGCTTCCATGTTTTTTTTTTATTTCTTCCAAATTAAAATAAGCAAAAATGTGGCTTGCGTTTATACTCCTGCCCCATCTATTTTGTCTACCTTATAAGTAGGGTTCTGTGTGTTTTAGTCTAACTCCATTGCCGAGAAGGCCAGATTAACGGGTGACCAGTATCATTAAACCCAAGAAATACACCAAAGAGAAGTGTCAAATGTTTACAGCAGTGTTATCTTATAATACAATATAACCAGCTTTGAACGTTTTGCAGTGATCATTCCTTTTCCTCAATACAGAAAGTTTGACCTTAAATGACCTCATCTGCAATTAGATAATTAACTAGAAACTCACCAGAGATGCTAACTTTAGATTACCAACATAGAACCAAGTTGAGGGAATGTTTTCTGTCATTTCTGAACTCCAGACGTTTGGTTTTTATGCAAACATGGCAAGAAGAACGCCATTAAAAAGAAATTAAGGAATTTCGGTTTAGTAACAAGAATTCCTGTTTGATAACAGGCCACACAGAGGACAGATCAAACATGTGAAAGAAGGAGCTGAGACAGACAGCCAGGAAGGAAATGATTGAGAATTTAACATATTCATGTTTTAAAATCAACCAAAGTCCAGATGTTTATACTCTAAAGAATCTGTGGTCACATTTAAATAAATGATCTGATGTAAAGGCCAATTTTTTCTAAAACGTTTGGGTAAAATATCTTTTCCAAAAGTACAATCTGACATAAGATTTGTAATTGCAGAAATATGTGGTCCAACAGGGCTTTAACTCAGGAAAGCTTGAAAGAAATGCATGCCATACTTAAGCTTTAGCTCAAAACCGTACATCCTTTTCCTTTCAGTTGACCATTTTACACTACTTGGTGGTGGTTTTAGTCTGTCAGATAAAATCCTATTAGGATTAGGGATTAAAAAAGTTCTGGGGTTACTTTTTATGACAGTCTTAAGTCTGGCCTCACTTGAAGCTAAAAGTAGTGCTATGTCAGGGTATGGAATGGTAAAGATGAGAAGGTAATCTGCAGGACAGATCTGGTATGCCTGTAAATTCCTGAAGTGGCCAGTAGGGTACCTATTCTGCTACTGCCATCTACAGGACATTAAAAGAATTGATAATTGATACCTACCATGTTACATGTTGATTTGAACATGCAGAATATATCTAGAGAGACCATAGAAATGCAAGTGTTGTACAAAACTAGATCATTTCTCCTTTAGTTTGCAGACGTTCCTGTTGGACGGAAACAGTTTAAGCGACTTGCCCTCTGAGCTGGGGTCCCTGCGGAGGCTGAGCTACTTGGGTCTTTCCTTCAATCAGTTCAACCATATACCCCAGGTGCTTGAGCGGCTGGCCTCCATGGAGAAGCTCTGCATGGCTGGAAACAACCAGGAAACGCTCACCCTGCAGAATTTCAGGCTGCTCCATGTCAAACACATCGATTTAAGGTACAACAACCCAAGCAGATCGATCTACATGTCATTGTTTTACAATAAAAAGGAGTTTGATAAATGAACTCAGGGGAACTTGGGCCAGAAACAGCACGACTACCATTTGCCAGTCATTCTTTTTTCCGACTGTTGTACTCATTGACATGCTTTAAACTCACTAATTACGGAAACAAAAACAGACGGAGGATACCATCACAGAACTAGATGGTTAAAAAGTAAAAAATTCAAGAAATAATTTGCTGGCACTGGCCCCTATCAGGGCCTCATCATCGTCTGGGAAAACGGAGCAGGAGTGACTTGCACTATTTTACAGTTAATGCTTCACGAAAATGTTGTCTAAGAAATTTTGCAATGTGTTGCAGTTGTTGCTTTTGCTTTGGCTCCTTTTCTTCAACTTTTGTCTTGTTTGTGAATAAAACAAACATTTGCTTGTTAAACTGTTTGTTATGCCCAGGCTATCTTTAGTTAAATTTTATTGTGGAATTTAAGCTCATCATACCACCAAAAGATGATGATTTGATATTAGGCAACTTATAATAGATTTTAATGACAGAAATGCAGAGCTTAGACAGTTGCACCATGCAGTGTTATTTAAGAACCATAATTTTTCATGCAACATGTTGCTTGAGCTTCACAGCGATGCATTTGGCAGGACTGTTGACTGAAGATAAAGGTACTGGGTTCGAATCTGCTGGAGGCATCTGTTGGGTCAGATGATCTCTCAAAATTATCCAACCCTCCGAATGCCTTGCAAGACCTAAAGGGCAGGGACAATTAATGGGAAGGTGTCATCATAGAAAATTATATTTTATGACTGATTCAACGCTTCCTACAACCTCCCCCTCCCTTAACTTATATGTAAATACATTATATCTAAAATCCTTGAAAGGATGTTGGCCATAATTTTTTCCAGTTGAAGATGAACCCTTTGCTTCTCTGTTAGGTTGAATAAGGTCTCTGTCATGGTCCCCGATGAGCCTGACCTGCTCCGGCATGTGACCCAGCTGGATGTGAGGGATAACAGGCTGATGGAGCTGGATGCGTCTGTCTTTCCTCGACTGGAAATCCTTCACTGCGAGAGGAACAACATAACATGTCTTAAAGTCAGAGGTTCTGTGCTTAAAGGAATTTACGCCTCAAATAACGGTGGGTGTGATCCAGCTTTATCCTTTCCTTCTTCAACCACAACCTCTCCTGTTTCTCAGCCATACTTGCATCTGTGCTCTATAAGTGTTTTTTATCCCATAGATTTGTCCTTTCAAATGCCCGTCTCCTGTTCATCTGTTCTCATGCCTCTGATTTTCTCATCAATACAACCCTCTAATTGTCCCTCTCCATCATTCCCCTTCACTCCTTCCCCAGTCCTCTCCTCCGTTTTACGTCTACCTCCTTTTTTATTAGGCTGTCCTTGCTGTAGGTTAATGTGTTTGAATTTCTCCCTACAGAATTACGACAGCTGGATGTCAGTCCTGTGCCCTCCAATCTTAGTTACATGGATATCTCGAGGTAAGGAAAGAAATATTTATTTATAAAAATAACCTGTGCAGGAAGTGTAAAGATAAAGCTAGTCAATTAAGTGATTGGTTGTGCATCTTAAGGACATAAATATTCGTAACTACCTGACAAAAAATAGGTCAGAAGGAAAAAGCTCATCATAAATAAAAATGATCAGTTCTCCTATATTTTTATTTATTTATTTTTATCTGTGAAGATAAACCTCTCATCTAGATTATACAACAACTTCCTAAAGGTAAGGAGCTGTGGCCTGTTAATGGCCGGACTTCACTAGACCCCTTAAGATGGGCTCTGACGATGCTAGAATCAGATTTATTTTATCCTGTGATGTGGGGCTTCCATAGATTGGGCTCCCATTCTGCTTTTTAATTTGTTAGTTTATTTGTTGACAGGCGCTATTACAAAGAGATAATGAGATTCCGATGATCACTGGGTATGCTCTGTGATTCTTTAAGAGGAATAACTTCATGGTAAAATACATTAATCACTGACGAAGATTGTAGATGGAAACTGTAAAAAAAAAAAAAGCAACTAAAACAGGCCAGTCTTAAACTCTACCTTAACAGTATCTTATATTGATTAGGAAAAAGATGGATATAAGCCAGAAATAATATGTTTGTTGATACCAAGGTTTGAAATTTAGACTGTATTTGAACTTCAAAATCTTAATTTTAAGATTTAAACAAAGCTGAGTTGCTGTAAGGAAGTCATAATGAAGATAAATTTTGAGGAAGTCTAAATTAGTACCTTCCCTTTTGAATCCAAGACAGCTCCACCAGGACTCCATTTACCTGAATCTATAATGCAGAAAAAGGACATTTATCCTCACCAAATTATATTCCATTTTAAGTAACACAGTTTGAAAGCGACACATAATTCATCATCATCATCATCACTGCCTCTCCCCCCCTCCAGGAACCACATGGAGTCCTTGCCAGACTGGCTGTGTGAAGCGAAGAAACTGGAAGTCTTGGACGTGAGCCACAACCTCATCACTGAGCTCCCCGCCAGGTGAGCCTCCCTCCTGCTCCAAACATGCCTGTAATTGTAGAGCAATGCTGCATTATTCTCTCTACCTGCTTTGTCAAGTGATGTATCCATCCCCCAAAAAGCCTCATAAATCACGCTGATAGCCGGTAACCTCTGGATCCATTCTGCTTCTCTTTATGCAGCATTTTTAGAAGGTTACATCAGATGCACCTTTTACTCTTTGCCATGTCTTAAATCAACCTTGCTCGCTTGGCTTCTGTCCTTCTCTCCTTATTTTCTCTCTTTCTACCTCAGGTATCCCTATTGTCTGGGCATTTATTTATTTATCTTTCCCAATAAGTGTCAAAATGATGAATTTCACTCACAGGATCCACTAGAGGCGCTCCGACACATATATTTTTTTTAGTCCTCATCTGCACATCCAGCTTTGTCCTTCACTCTCCCTATTTTCCCCCCTGTTCAGTTACTGCAGACTATCTGTCTTTATATCTATCTGCTTGTCTGCCCACCCTCTAGAATCTCAGCTATCAGTCCATCTTAATCATCTATCTGTCTGTTAAAGTTGCTTATCCATCATATGCTAGTGCTGATTCAGCTGTCTGTTTATTTCTCATTCTGCAGGTTGTTCTGCAGCAACAGTCTGAGGAAGCTAAGTGCTGGACATAACCAGTTGCAGAAGCTGCCTGACAGAGTAGAGCGCCCTCTGCTGGAGATTTTAGATGTTCAGCATAATCAACTGGTGGAACTTCCATCTAACCTGTTCCTCAAAGCCAACAGGTAGCTCTAAACATTTGCTACATGCGGCTGTTTTTCACATTTTTAACTGTGATTATGCATCTCTAATTTAAGCTAAAGAATCTGCATGTATGTGGAGATAATAAGAGTAAATCACTTCTGGATAAAGAAGAGATTTTTGCTAAAAGTAGTTAATCTAAGCAAAAATCCTCAAATAAAGTGGAACAAAAAAAATTCAGCATGAAATGCTTTTCTGGTGACGAAATGTGTCTTAGATAAGTTTAGCTGTAGAGAACATTCTGGCTAACAGCTTCAAAGTTAATATATTCTGGTGTAAATTCAAGCATGTGTTTTCCCCAGTTTAGAGATTCCTTAGAATTTTATGTCCCATAAAAATGTATTTATTTATTTATTTGAATAGGGACAAAGCACATTAATGAACATCAGTATAAAAACAAATGTAAATATGCTGGATTATAGCTACAAAGCTAGTATTCATCTGTAGTCCCTAGGCAGCCAAATACATAAGAAAGAACATATAATATACAATATAAGCATCACAAGGAAATGTTAAGAGTTTAGTGGTCACATGATTGGTTTGTTTTCATCCATAGTTTGAGTTGAGCTCCAAAGCTGATCAGTGTAGGGCTCTCCCGTATGTGCAGAGGAAGACTGTTTCAGATGTTAGTGGCTCTCACAGAGAGAGTGTTCTGACCAAAAATGACCAATCCTTCTTATTTTTGGGGGGTTCAGTTTACGAAGCGTAAATGCATCAGCAAACAAGCTGGAGCACCTGCCACCGTCCAGTCTGTCGGAGGAAAGCCACAGCATCTTGCAGGAACTCTACCTGACTAATAACCTGCTGACGGACAAGTGTGTGCCAATGCTCACTGGTCACACACACCTGCGGGTTCTTCACATGGCATACAACCACCTCCAGACCTTCCCTGCCAGGTAGCAAAGAAAAACTCCTTTGGGAATGTTTTCTGGTCTGCTATTTGTTTTATTTTGAACTAGTTGGTTAGTTTGTGCTTCAGCTTACCCACTTCCTTTTCACCCTTCAGTAAAATGGCCAAGCTGGAAGAGCTGGAGGAGGTGGACTTGAGTGGAAACATGCTGAAGACTGTTCCCACCACCATCATGAACTGTAGACGAATGCACACTCTCATTGCCCACTCCAACTCCATCGAGGTGTTTCCGGAGGTCATGCAGTTGATGGAGATGAAGGTAAAGCAGAAACACATCTCTACAAAGCCCTCTCCCGCCCCACTCCAGCCTTCATTATATATCTGTTATGTTCTGCTTTTCAGTGTGTGGATTTGAGCTGTAATGAGCTGAGTGAGATCACTTTACCAGAGAATCTGCCTCCAAAACTCCAGGAGCTGGATCTGACTGGCAACCCTCGTCTCAACCTGGACCACAAGACCCTTGAGCAGCTTAAGTATGTTACTCTTTTTATTTTACAAAGAAAGCTGTTTCTTAAATTAACTTCTTTTGTTGTCTTTTTTTCCGTCACGATATTTGATAAAGTTTTTATTATTCATTATTTATTTGCTGTTTTTTCAAAGAATATTTTGCTTTCTTCTGTATGTGAAGATAAAGGATGGGTTTTAATCCTCTTCGTGTATTTTTTTTTTTTTCTTTCAGTAACATTCGCTGTTTCCGTATTGATCCACCGCCAACATTCTCATCGAATGAGGCATCTGGGGGGCCTGCTGTGTGGAGTCATGGTTACACTGAGGCCTCAGGCGTAAAGAACAAGTGAGCTAAATTCAGTCCGCAGTAAAAAGAAGAAGCTCCATCACGTTTATGATGTGAAACCTTACAAATAGAAAATATCTGTTTCTCAATATAAGTTTAGTAAAGCATTATCCTACATTTTCATTAATGTTTGTAAACAAGCTTCCATGGGTTTTAGTATGTTTACAGGTTCTACCAATTTCTCTTATTTTCAGGTTCTATAATTAAAATCAGCCCTTTGTTGGAAAAAACTTTGATTTACTGAGAAGTTTTGTATTTGATATTGTGAAATGAATGAATATTTTGTCTTTAAAGCTTGAATAGTTTCCTCACAAAGTGCCTTTCTGTTCCTTTTCAGACTCTGTGTCGCCGCCCTCTCAGTGAACAGCTTCTGTGGGAGTCGAGAAGCTCTGTACGGTGTGTTCGACGGAGACAGGAACGTGGAAGTGCCCTACCTGCTGCAGTGCACCATGAACGACGTCCTGGCCGAGGAAATCCACAAGACCAAAAGCGAAGAGGATTTCATGACCAATACGTTCCTCGTCATGCAAAGGTAGACTATCGGCTATGTTCTCTAAACAAAAGGCAGTTCTTTAGGAATCTGGTGTTCTCTTGGTTAAAGAGAGAAGCCTAGTAGGTTTTCTTAATATTAAGATAGACTTTATTCATCTCACAGTGGAGAAATTCACTTATCAGCTCAATAGTCCAAAAGAAGGTGCCAAAAGGAGGGAAAGGTGCTTGGGGTATATACAGTATATACAGTGGGTCCACTACTGTACTGTATATACAGTACAGACCAAACGGTTGGACACACCTTCTCATTCAAAGAGTTTGCTTTTTTTTCATGACTATGAAAAGTGAAGATTAACACTGAAGGCATCAAAACTATGAATTAACACATGTGAAATTATATACTTAACAAAGTGTGAAACAACTGAAAATATGTCCTATAATCTAGGTTCTTCAAAGTAGCCACCTTTTGCTTTTAGAATTGCTTCAAGAGGTAGTCACCTGAAATGGTCTTCCAAGAGTCTTGAAGGATTTCCAAGAGATGTTTAGAACTTGTTGGCCCTTTTGCCTTCACTCTGTGGTCCACCTCACCCCAAACCATCTTGATTGGGTTCAGGTCCGGTGATTGTGGAGGCCAGGACATCTGGCGCAGCACCCTATCACTCTCCTTCTTGGCCAAATAGCCCTTACACAGCCTGGAGGTGTGTTTGGGGTCATTGTCCTGTTGAAAAATAAAGGATGGCCAAACTAAACACAAACCGGATGGAATAGCATGCCGCTGCAAGATGCTGTGGCAGCCATGCTGGTTCAGTATGCCTTCAATTTTGAATAAATCCCCAACAGTGTCACCAGCAAAGCACCCCCACACCATCACACCTCCTCCTCCATGCTTCACGGCGGGAACCTGGCATGTAGAGTCTATCTGTTAACCTTTTGTGCGTCACACAAAGACACGATGGTTGGAACCAAAGGTCTCAAATTTTTGACTCATCAGACCAAAGCACAGATTTCCACTGGTCTAATGTCCATTCCTTGTGTTCTTTAGCCCAAGCAAGTCTCTTCTGCTTGTCACTTGTCCTTAGCAGTGGTTTCCTAGCAGCTATTGACCTGGTCTCTAATCTGAGCTGCTGTTAACCTGCGATTTCTGAGACTGGTGACTCGGATGAACTTCTCCTCCACCCCAGAGGTGACTCTTGGTCTTCCTTTCCTGGGGCGGTCCTCATGTGAGCCAGCTTCTTTTCGCGCTTGATGTTTTTTGCGACTGCACTTGCGGACACTTTCAAAGTATTTGCAATTTTTCAGACTGACTGACCTTCATTTCTTAAAGTAATGATGGCCACTCGTTTTTCTTTACTTAGGTGCCTTTCTCTTGCCATAATAAAAATTCGAACATTCTATTCAGTAGGACTATCAACTGTGTATCCACTTGACTTCAGTACAACACAATTGATGTACAACCCCTTTTATAAGACAAGATATCCCACTTATTAAGCCTGACAGGGGACACCTGTGAAGTGTAAACCATCAAGAGAATGCCAAGAGTGATCAAAGCAGTAATCAAAGCAAACCAAAATGGCTACTTTGAAGAACTTTTCAGTTGTTTCACACTTTTCTGTTAAGTATATAATTCCACATTTGTTAATTCATAGTTTTAATGCCTTCAGTGTGAATCTACAAACTCTGGTCTGTACTGTATATAACATCTGAAGTCTCTTATTTAACATGATTATTGCACAGGATTATTGGATGGGGTATTAAATTGGTATTCATACTATATGTATACTATATATATATATATATATATATATATATATATATATAGTTGTAGTTATTGCACAGGGTATTAGATACAAACAGGTTGGTGCACGGGGTATTACATAGTGATTGCACATTAGTTATTGCAGTTATAGTGGTACAGTCTGATAGCAGCACGGATGAATGACATGCAGTAGAACTTATTTTACAGAGTGTATACGTCTTTCATTGAAGGAGCTATTCACCCTTTTTGTTTTTTGGGCCAGTGTTTCTGTTAGTTTAATCCTCATTAATCAAGTACAGGTAGGCAATTATTAATGTCATGTGAATGTTTATAAATCATGAAAAGTACATGATGATGATGTTTTGTGTTAAATTTACTATCTTTTCAATCTCCATGTTATGAAAACAGGAATAGATTCTCAGTTGGTTTAATGATTTTTATTTATTTTTTGTTTAGAGTCATGCTTATTATCATATACTTTGAGTTATAGTGTATTATAAAATCTTTAATATCCTTTGTATTATAATCTCAGCAGATATATCACAAAAACACTACAGGTACCTCTAACCCCATATCACTAATCCCTACCATTATGTTTTTCAAAAATCAACCTGGTGGCATCACTATGTTCATTTGTGCAAATTGTAATTGTTTTTATTCAATACTTTATAATAAGAGGCTTTCTATAAAATACATTGTTCTGTTGTCATTTAATCTTGTTTTTTTTGCCGCATTTTCTTCTTCTTATGACCTCTAAAATGAATATCCATTCAAAAAACTTCAATCTTCTGTGTTTTTTTTCTTCCTCCTGAAGGAAACTTGGAACTGCTGGACAGAAACTCGGGGGGTCTGCAGCTCTGTGTCACATCCGCCATGACCCCACAGACCCCAGTGGCTGCTTCATCCTCACAGCTGCTAACGTGGGAAAGTGCCAGGCCATCTTGTGTCGGGACGGGAAGCCCATGTCCCTGTCGCTGCTTCACAATGTGGGCTTGGAAGAGGAATACCGCAGGATCCGGCAGCACAGAGCCATCGTCACTGAGGTAGAGGGTCCACTAATGACCTGTAATAAATCTAATTTTAAATGTGCCGCGTATTGATTTATATATTTCTTTATCCAAGGACAACAAGGTGAATGGAGTGACTGACTCAACAAGAATTATGGGCTATTCCTTCCTTTACCCCTCAGTCATCCCTTGCCCCTACGTGCAGACTGTGACTCTCACCCCTCAGGATGAGTTCTTTATTCTGGGCAGCCGTGGGCTGTGGGATGCAGTGTCTGCCACAGAAGCAGTGGAAGCAGTTCGAAACGTCCCCGATGGCCTGGCTGCTGCTAAAAAGCTTTGCACCCTGGCTCAAGGTTATGGCTGTACTGACAGCCTGAGTGCAGTTGTGGTGCAGCTCAGCGTGAGTGAAGACTGCTGCTCCTGCTGCTGTTCAGAGCCCCCCCACCATCCCCCTAGCCCCGGCCTGGGCCCCTACCCTCCATCTTCCTCGGCCATTAAGGATCGGCCCTCTGATGGTTCACTGCCTGTTCCCCCTTCGTCCTGCAGCGAAATCAGCAGCGAGATAAGCACCAGCGAGATGAGCAGCGAGGTGGGCTCCACGGCTTCATCCGACGAGCCTCCACAGAGCTCCTTCGTGCTGCTGCAGGATCAGACGCACCACCCTCAGCTCCACCTCCACCATCAGGCCCATCTGCTATCCCTGCAGCACCAGCAGCCACACACGGCCACCCAGACCTGCCAGTATCTGCTGCCAGGTTCAGAACTTCCTTCAGCTCGGACCTGTTGCGCTCTCCATCCAGCCTGCCTCACCAGCTCCTTTCAGAGGCAGCTGTCCAGCGCCACCTTCTCCAGCGCCTTGTCAGACAACGGGCTGGACAGTGAGGATGAAGAGCCCATCGCAGGCGTATTCTCAAACGGGAGCCGGGTGGAAGTGGAGGCAGATGTTCACTGCCTCAAAGCTGAGCTCTCACAGTTATCCTCATCCCAAAACCTCGTACCCTCATCTTCCACCCAGGAACACACCATGCTCTCTCTTCCTCCACCACCACCGCCACCACCAAGCACGCCCGAGCCACTAGAGGAAGCGGTGGACCTGAACCAGGCAGAGGCAGAGAATGGGCTCGACAGAGACGAGTCCTGGCCAGGTGTGGGAGTGGGAGCTGGGGACGGTGGGAAGTTTCCAGGAAAGAGGAGAGTTAACGGTTCAGTGGCTCGTCAGGAAAAGAGTCACAACCTCATTGAGGTGGCGGCCGATGCCCCTTCCAAGAAATCAGGAGGATACTTCACAGCTCCGGCCCAGCCCGACCCAGATGACCAGTTCATCATCCCTCCTGAGCTGGAGGAGGAGGTGAAGGAGATCATGAAGCAGCATCAGCAGAAACAGCAGAAGCCAGCTGGGATGGATCAGCCCACCGACTACTTCGATACCCCTCTCTAAGCTTAAGAGTCGACCTCCTCTGATGCCGCCCTTCATTCTACTGTTAATGCACAGATAAGTAGGTTTTACGGGGAGGCTGAAAAGTCTGCATGAAAGTTTTACAGAACAGACTTCATCCCTACGCAGCGCCTAATCTTTGGATAAACATGTACTGCTGCACCTGCAGAGTTAAATAAGCAAATGAGCCCTTTAATGATCCTCAACCTTCTGGATACGTGTGAGGACAGAGATCCCAGAGCCAGCGTTCTGTTCACAGATCAAATCTGTTTCTTTTTTTTGTTTTTCTTTTGTTTTTTTAAATAAATAATCAACACTAGTCTATTTGCGATAGCATTAGCTTGTCACACATAATATACATGATTTCTTTTGTTTTGTAAGAACCTAAATTATGTTTTAATGTGAACGCAGTGAAGTTCTTGAACGCAACCTTTTTGAAAACAGACTCCTTATCTTTTTATTTTCAGTCCAACTTTGATGAATCATCCGGCATTAAAACCCACACCTAACTATTGTAGATAGGGCACTTTAAATACTGTATTTCTTCAGTAAATCAAAGCTCTCGGCCTGTAAAATGACATAGAGATTTTTTTGTAGAAAATTTCCAATACTAACTCCTAGGAGTTGCATACTCTATATGGTGACTCAGTCACTTTTTTACTAATCTTCTCTGAGAGAAATGGTGATTCTTTTTTCAATTATTGTAAATAAGAGAAATGTTGTATACTGATACTTTTAAAGGAACTGCATACCTGTATGTCGGTGAAGGTTTTTAAGCTGTGGGGAGGATATAGTGTTTGCTGTTATGGAGGTGAGCCCCCATTTATCTTACAGTGTAAAACCACAAATACGACTTCAAATTCACAACGTACACAAATGTAAATGTGCAATTGCAGGATGGAAACTAACATTCCGTGCAATATTTATACACTAAGTTGTCCACTTTGTTAAATTGTGATATCCTGTAGTCATCACCGTATCTACTTAACACTAAAAGGTCTTTGCATGCACAGACAGACAAACAAATGCATACACACACAGACATTCACACACATGGATACTCACAGGTAATTAGTTCCACCTCCCTCCTACAGTAACTATTATCACCGGCATGACTGTGTCTAGTTCAGTAACACCAACAAGTATAGCCACATGGAAAAGAGACACTACAAATGTTCCTGTCTTTGGTATAATAAATTTTAAATTTGTGAATATAAGCTCTGTTGTCTGAGACTTTATTTTTTTTTTTTACATCTTAACAGTTTTTTTTTTTCATTAAAACATCTTAGCACTGATAAAAGCATAATTTTAAAATACTTTATTTCAAACAACCCTTTAAATCCAAGTGTATCATATTTGATACATTAGTTTTTGAGACACCTGCATCATCAAGATATTTTTGTTTCTGAAAACCCCGGCTTACACATTCAGACACGAGGTGAACAGAAAATATATAACAGATTATACAGAAAGGCCTGCTTTATCAAAGTTGATGCAAATAAATGATCTAATTGAACTGATACAAAATTTCTCAGAAGGTTTAATATCACTCTAATTTAAAAAATATATAATTTTTTGTTAATTATTTCATTGTCCGGGCTTTGAAGGGTTTAAACTTTCTCTCCTTTTATGTGTTTACATCAAATGACCAGTAGGTGGCAATTCAATGCAGCATTAGATCCAGTACAGGATCTCATTCTGCTGTTGTGATATTAGCCTGTTTCTGTTAGCCTACTTAATTAGCATGCACATTTTCCAGGGTTACACCATCCATCTTAGCACGCTTCTTGTACTTCTTCTTCACACAGAGGATGCTCACTACTGTGATCACCAACATGGCTGCCAGCACAGACAGGGAGGAGGCCAGAGCAAGAGTGGTTTTATCCTTTGTGGAGCCTTTGTACTGACAGTTTGGCCCGTAGTACCACCAGTCATTTCCTACAACACACCTGCAGGGTAGCAATAAAGGGACAGGAGAGGGAGAAAAATCACATTCTAATATGTTTTCAGTAACAGGTCTTTAGAAACCCTAAATTTGATTCCACTTTCTGCATAAACTAATCATATACAAAAAGGACACTCGATTTATCTTTATAACTATGTTCAATTTAAATTCAGTTTTTATATAGCCCCAATTCACAACATGTCATCTGAAGGCACTTTACAGTTCACCAGATCATACAGTCAAATTGATTCAAAGTTTTCTATTTAAGGAAAACCAGTTGATTGCATTGACTCTGATGCAATCTCTCACACTAAGCATGCTTGTGGTGACAGTGGAGAGGAAAAACTCCCTTTTAACAGGGAGAAACCTCCAGCAGAATCAGGCTCAGTGTGAGCGGCCATCTGCTGAGGCTGACTGGGGTTCAAGGAGACAGAAGCAGAGATACAAAAGCAACTGTAAACGGCTGTCCCCGCCCAGGAATGTTGAGAACATAGGCAGTTTATGGAAAAATATAAATGACATTTTGAATAATATTGTTATTTTGCTGTAGCATCTTAAAATGATCTGACCACATTTGTTTTTAAATTGCAAAACAAAAACTAAGAATTTATAGTATCACATCTATCAAATAATAGAATAATTTTGGAAAGATTAGATTTTTGCTGCTTCTAAAATGCAGTTTTTTGTTGACATTTACAATAATCTAAAAATAAACTAGGAAGCAGATTTCAACATGCCAGTCTTAGTGGCTGCAGATCGCTTCAGTAAAAACATGCTCACCTGCAGGTAGGCTCTCCCTGATCCACAACACAGACTCCACCGTTCTGACAAATCACTTTTTGACAACTATCTGAAGGGTTAGTGGTTGGGATAGTTGCATAAGTGGTTGGGATAGCTGCATTAGTGGTTGGGATAGTTGCATTATTGGTTGGGATAGCTGCATTAGTGGTTGTGGGAGGCAGAGGCTGGGAGATGGTCAGATGGGACACATCTATAAAAAGAAAATAAATAATCAAATATTGGATGATAACATTCTTTTCCGTGCATTGCCTATGGGGAGGTAACATGACAGTGACATGTTAGAAAAGAGTTTGCTTCAAATTATAGTGATTTGATCTGTACAGACATAATTATAGCACTTCAATAGAACCCATCTGGCAATATGAAATAGGCAGTAGCATATCAAAAGCAATATATCCTGGACTGATCAAAAAAAACACCTACTTGTCTGTAACACATTTCAAAGCCATTTCTAAGGCTTTGGGACTGCAGTGAACTACAGTAAGAGCCATTATCAGCAAAAATGGAGCATTGATTAACCTTCATAAAAGTGACAGGACTATCAAAATTTCTCCAATAGTGTGCTGACAATTCATCTAGGTGGTAGCAATAGTGCCCTGGAAATTTATTTACTTATTTTGGTAGGTGATGGAAGCATTTTTAAGGAGCTGTTTTCTCGTTTATACAGTAAGCTGGTGCTTTTACCTTCCATTGTGAGAAGGAAGATGGCATCTCCTCCCTTGATAAAGTCTCGGCTCTTAGCTCTCAGGTGGGTGAGATACACTGGAGTTCCAGCACCCGGTCCACGGAAATACTTGGACCCATCTGTAAACGTAACCTCAACCCCGACTTTCCGAGGATCATCCCAGAAAAAAAGGTCAGAATCTGAAAGAATGTTGATAAGATGCATAAACATAGTTTGAAATATAAAGAGCAGCATTGTGTTCATAATTGAATCTTTTTTAGAGATACATCCTCACCTGCTTCTTTCATGTTTGGGTCAGTTGTGACGCTGCGCTGATTGGACATGCGCTTTTGGATATGTGGGTGCTGATCCATCAGCATCATGGTTATCTGTTTCCAGGGACATGGCCATGTTTGTCCGGTGTCCCCCTCCCGGGCCACCAGGTGAGCGTAGGCAGATAACTCTCCAGAGTAACCCTCATTTATTCCATTGGGGAAAAGCTCCATCTGAAAGGTGTAACCCTCTTTAGACGTGAAGGGGGGGCTAAAAATAGCAGTCTTGGGTGGGGAGGTATCCATGACATGGCTGAAGTTTTTCACCCGCCACACAAACTCAGGACAGGTGGTCTCAGAAAGGTTAATGTCGTCCAGTGAGAGTCCTCCTGCAGCTGGACCAGAGCCCTCCTTTTTCCCTTCAAAGACCACTCTGAATTTTTTTTTCACGTCTAGACTCACATGGTGCAGCTGCCACAAATCTTGAGGAGATCCTGCAGCAAAACAAGAAAGAGGATTATTGGACAGAAAGCACACAATGGTGATATTTCTCCTGCAGAACTCTATTAGCCTTATGTCTTAGTAGCGGTCACCATCTATTGTTGCGATGAGGCGCAGGACTCCACTGGGGTTGGCTTCATCGTACTCCCTGACGTAGATTTTCAGTGTGTCGCTGGGACCAGCACTGTTGTAGTAAAAAAACTGCAGACATTGGTATCCTCTTTTGGGATAGACAAGCCTACTCTCCAGCATAGCTGTGTCTCCGATGTTAGCTGTACCAGTGCTAAAGTGCATGAAGTATCCAGATCCTACACAAAGACATGCCACAAAAAATAGTTATTGGTATATTTTTGAATATGCATCATGAAAATCATCATAATAATGTTGGGATTTATATGCATAGATAATTGTAAAGGAGGTAAAGGGGAAAAAAAGGCTATTACAAAGAAAAATGTGTTTATATTATTTTCATTTTTCTTAACGTTGGAGAATTAAAATTGATAGATTATGAAATTGCTTTCTGAGATGAAACTTATCTATATAGAGTGTTTATTTCAGCATTGTATTGTATCTCTCTAAGATCCATCTCACCTGTGCATTTGCCCATGTTTGAGTAGTCTGTGTCGGGCCCCCCGGCAGCTTTAGTGACCCTCAACCAGTCGGCCTTGTCTCCATGTCCCTGGATCATCCCGCAGATGTTTTCACGTTCAAAGTCACATGAATCCAGGAAGGTGGAGCCTTGAGCTAGAAGAACATTCGCATATTGAAGGTACTTTGAACAGCAGTAAACTAGTTATTCTGCTTGTCCACATATTTCTATGTAGCACAAGTGAAGAAAAAGTCATCTTCAGCTGATTCTTTTTTAAATTGCTTTTCTTCTTTAATCATAAAAGCAATTTAAATCAATCCTCACCAAACTTTTTAATTAGCTTTCTTCTTCTATATGTTCATGGTAGTTATTTAGTACATTGTTGTTGTTATATTTTCAATGGAATTTGCTGTTTATTTGTATATATGTGCAGAGTTAACTGACCCTGAATTGAGCTTGAATCAGACTTTCACTGTTCTCATAACACAGTTGAAATTGTTTCCACAGAACAACATACTGCAGTTTGGAAGTTATTTGATTAAACATTAAACAACACAAAGTTACAACAGCGGTGACCCTTACTGCACTTGTAGAGGCGGTTCAGCTTCAGCAGATCACTGTCACTGAACTCCATTCGCTGGCCGATGACATCACTGAAAGCAGGTATCTTTGTAACGATGGTGGGCTCAGAGCCGTTGCGGAAAGCGTTTTTACTATAGTGCATCATGGAGTTGTAGTCGTAAGGTACGCCCAAAGAGCTGGAGATGTTGTCATTGTACGTGTTGAAATTGTGCTCTTTACCTGCAAAGAAACCCATGCCCTTTAGCTGCAGAAAGCTTTCAGAATGTTGGGTTACCAAAGGGTGTTTGAAATTGCTCACCTGTTGTTGCACAAAGTATTTTGACTACAGCTTAAAGAAATGTATATTTTAAGAATCTGATGAATCTAGGCTAATTCTCATACAAATGCTTATCATTTTTACATAAAACCAGTGCAGCACTAAAACCTGCTATAAAGCTCTGAAGTCATGCAGACATTTTAAAAAATGCATAAAAAACATTTTACTCAGTTCATCAATTACGGCTCTTGAAAAAGTATTCACTCCCCTTGAACTTCTACACATTTTGTTGGATTACAATCTTTTTTTTTTTTTTTGCCATAACATGCTGCATTACTCCATGATTGAATTCATTTTTATTGCATTGAAGCCCTTTAATGCCTAGGTAAACCATTGAAATGTTGTCTTTGCACTTCAAGTTCAGTCAGATTGATCATAGAGAATCGTGGATCATCATTTCAGGTCTTGCAATAAATTCTCTGTTAAAATTGATCTGTATCTTCACTAAACATGTTTTTTTATTCCCATATTTCTTTTATCTCACTATAAGGTCCATTCAAATTTCTCCACCTTCTGCATCCCTGCTAAAAAATATAGCAACCCCAAAACAATAACAGGCCAGTCCTATATTTGTTTGTATTTATATCACATAAAATCCCTTTAAAGGTCTTCAGAGGTTAAAATCCTCTTCTAATTCCCTGCACATGAAATCATTATCTTTTGATTTAGAAATATAAACGCTTAGTTGCGATACCTTCTGAGATGCGGTCCCACATGATGCGTACATAGTCATCTCGATCTGACCTGGACTGCTCATGCCAGAAGCCCAACGCATGAAGGAATTCATGTTCTATCGTAGCAATGCGGTCACAGTTTGTTCCTATTGACAACCTCTGCTTTCCAACTTTCCGATTACCAACAGAAGAGAAACAGCTTTGGGAAGAGAAAGCCAAACTTTTATGAACATCAAATACATTCAGCAGTCTTATCTCAAAGACTCTTGTGTTCTGAATTAGTAATGATTCAATCCCTAAGAAACTACAGCTTATCGCACATCTCAAAGTATAGAAGAAAGGTTCTTGTTGCTTACCCGCTTCCTTTGAAGATGGAAATGTAGTTTTCTTCCCCGCTCCATGGCTTGAAGTCAATGCAGGTCTTTAGGCGGTACTGCTCAAAGGCCTTTAAAATCACACCTTTTGCATTGATCTCTTCAGAGGAGACAATAAACAGGTAAAATAGGTGTTTTCAAGTTTGAATGTTTTCATAATCTCTTTAAAAAAAACTAAAATCTTGTGTTTGCACAAGTTGATAAAAAGTCTCAAGATAGATGATGTAATTTTACGCCATTTAAGATTATCTCTCCTGATCTGTTGTCAGCTTCAGCAATTAACCCCTTTCTTGTTGTATAAAGCTAATTCTGTTTGATGGAGGTCAGTACTAACTTAACAGTTAAAGCTTCTGTATCTCAGCTGTTTAAATCAGACCACACAGGTCAGCCATCGTTTCCCCTGAGCATCAGTGGGCCTTGATCTTGCAGCTTTCCATCACTGTTTCTTCCGTGAACCACTTTTGATAAACATTGCAGACCTGGAACACCCAAAGGTGTAGCAAATTTGAAAATGTTCTTAAAAATTGCTATATCTTTAAAACTAGCCTTTGCACTTTAACCTTTATTACATTTTAATTGTTCACTTGCCTGCATTTTCTGCTTAACATTTCAAAATTACTATTTTGCTGCCTAAAATATCTCAGTGACTCCCACATGATCGCAATGTTATCAGTGTTATGTACTTCACCTGTCATAATATATTGAATAAAGGATTAAAAAGTGCCTTTTTGTCATCATCTTAGCATCTGATTTTTTTTATTTTTTTTTTTGTCTGACAATTGTCTTTTTTCCCCCCATAAAAATCACGTAGATTCCACTGCAGGATTCAAAACAAGCAACATATATCCTGCCTGCTGTTGTCTGCTGTTTTCCTCTTGTTTGCTTTGGTCATGCTATGAGATTATTGATTAACTGTCAGTAATCTTGATCTTTATCAGGGTCACACTTGATAAAGATGCAAGGTTAGACAATAAAAGATGGCACATGTTTAGAGCTTTGTGTAGTTTCACAATTCGAATCTCAAATGTTTTGTATGCACAGTTGAAAAATCACTTTATTATAGTAATGGAAGTTAAACTTTTAATTAAATTTTAATGAGTAAAATAAGAAGTCCTACGTTTTTACGAACTTTAAAAAACTAAATGTTTCCATGTCACATTCAGATTGCGTGCGAACATTAAGTTAATCTGTTAATAAGTTATTTTCAGTCTATATTTTTTAGGTCTATATCATTACCTAAGTCATCCTCCATGTAGTAGGGAATTGTTCTTGGCCATTTATACTCCTCCCCTATGATTGAATTTCGAGTCTGTCCCTGCAGCAACAGGAAAAAGACAATCCCAACTGTAGAAGCTTTGTTTTGGAAATTTCAGTTGATGATAAAAATGAAACAGGCTAACTCAATTTACCTCATCCAGAACAATGTCCCCCTCTACGAGATTCAGTCCTGCCTCTGTGGGGACAAAGATCAATTATGTAAAAAAAGAAAAATGGGTTAAAAAGGTAGACAGGTGCAAAGTTTAAAAAAATTAGAAAGAAATAACCCAAACTGTGTTATTTCCCGATACCTTCATTAATGTCAAAAATGTCAAGGTCCAGTCCTCCATCTACATCAAAGTCTGTGATTAAAAAAAAAAAAATTAAACAATTGCAAATATTTCTATCAAACATTATAAAAGAGTTAAGTCCTAACTTTTCTTAAGAAAATGCTTACTTGATATCTTTGCAGTCGGCTATGTTGACGAAAGATAAAAAAAAGTAGACAGAACTGTTCAATAAAGTAATTGGAATCTACTTTCAAACTTGCCAAATAGCATATTGTAATAAAACATTTCTTACCAAACAAAGGTTGGTGCCACACAGAAAGCAAAGAACGTGAAGAACAAGAATACCTTTTGGTTTTTTTCCTGCCATGTTCCGCTCCTTTGTGTTGAGAAGTAAACGGATGGCGAATACTGTGCACTGGACAGATGCTGATGAGACAGAAATTACAAAGTTGCACATTGATGATAAAGCATGTATGTCCAAAAGTAAATAACTGACAGAGCCATAAAGTTACCCAACAGCTCTGCTCCATTGCTTCTATGCCTATAAATCTGTAAACCTTGGAGAAGAGCCCTAAACACCTGAGGCACTTCAATGTTTTAAATGGTGTCAATGTCACTTTTTTAAAAGGGCTAGTTGAAAATGAAAACTTAAATATCGTCCTTTTATAATACAAAAAACAAATTGCTCTGGTAATATGAAATTATAGCAATTATAGCCACTTGTAAACTTACCGTAAATAACATTGACACATGAGATTACATATTTTATGACGTTATATGTTTTTTGGCTCTTGAGGGCCAAATACATTGTTGGGCCAGTCTCAGCCCAGGGGCCTTGAGTTTGACAAAAATGATTTAACAGAATACCTTTGTTGCTGCAAGAAAGTTTTCAAACCAGACTGTCTTTTAACATTTTATTACGTTATACCTATAAGCGTCACGCAGGCATGCAAAGGGAGAACATGCAAACTACATGCATAAAGACTGGGAATCAAATCGAGGACCTTTTTGCTGCAACAAAGCAGTGCTGCAAACAGTACCAACGTGCAACCACATCATAAAACCGACATTTTTATGTAATCTAAATATATTTTGTAATCATTCCCCACAATGTGAACTGTAAAAATCCCAGGGTTGCGTTGCCAGTAGAACCCGAAACAGCTTCTTCCCCGCTGCCATCAGAAAGCTGAACTGTTGAAAAAACTCTAAATCAAGTCACAGACTCTGTATCAAACTGACAACACTAAAACCCTGCATAATTGCACCATATATATTTTAATGCTCTGAACTTCCATATAATATGTTTTTTTTTGCACCATGTTTTTTTCTTCCCCTACACTGTTTATATGTGATCACTGCTGCACTTTAAGAAATGGAAATGTCATGAGAGCTATACAAAATGATTTTTTTTGTTTGTATACACTCTATGTATACAAAATGACAAAATTTATCTAAGTCCAAAAAATAGCTCTAACTCACTCGGCTCAAAAGTAGATGAGTCTGTGAACATTAGCTTCATATCTTGCCTTAGGTTTCCACCTTGTGTTTTATAATTACCCTGTATGCACGTCTTTTTATCTTTGCTTCAACTATATGCCTGCTTCAAAGGCCAGCTTCCTATATATTTCTGAAAAAAAAAAAAAGCATCCCACAGCATTATTCTTCCACCACCATTTCTCTCAATAGGAATGGTAATTTAAAACACCATAACTTTATTCCTAACCTATGTGCTGTGCTTCTTTGTCTTAATGATGCCTTTTGTTTGCCAAAGTTCTAAAGAAAAACTAAACAGCTGCACTTAACCTAAAACGGACAGTTGTTTACACTGGAAGTTATTAGGATAACAAAATCAAAAAGTGTTTAAAACAGATGCCTCCATACAAGATTTCACCGAAAAAAAAAACAAACAAAAAAAGACCATGAAAACCACTAGTCACAGTTATGCAGTATATTTGTTTTGCTTTTTTCCAACATAAAATAATGTGAAAAAGAAATCCTCCGAAGAATATAAATACTACTTTTCCTAAGCATGGTTTGAAGCAACCATTGATACATTTTTTGAGCCCAATAAATCCTGTCCAAAGGTGCAAAGACAAACATATAAAGGAAAGTAAAAATACTACTCAAATGTCTCCACTTATATTTCTTCTTCCAGGTTTCATGTAGCAAGATATGTAATGTCATTAAGGAAAGGTGAACTTGCAAGTAAATTGTAGGCTTTCATGCTGTTCTTAATGGTGATTAAAAAGTTTTTTTTCATTTCCTCTTGAGTTTTGCAACGTAGATAAGACTGTGTGCACAAAATCTAGGTGGATTGGTGCACTTTTAAATGCTGTTTTATCTGACGGCTCTTCTGTTTTGATGTTTTCACAGAAAGTGTAATTCCTTTGCTCCCATTGTTTCTTGTAAAGAACAGAATTTCTTTTTTTTTTTTACTGGAGCAGCAAATCCTTTTGTTGAAACTGAACTTTTTAACCAAAAACCTGTCTGTTTCAATGTGTTTCTCTTTCATCTCTATGGTAACCTGCTCTTTTGATTTTAAACCAACTGCAGATGGTTTTAAAATAAAATGTCTCCTTAGACACCAATATTAGCCAAACGAACAGAGTAATATAACCTAAGTAAGATGGTATTTATGAGGGGGCGTACAAGTCAGAAATCATACTGCCATCTACATATTAATATATTTCAACTCTCATACACAGTACATGTATTCTATTCCTTACATACAAATGTTGTATGTCTTCTTTCACATACATGTTTTCCTCTCATATACATATATTCTTCTTCATAGAGACATACATTGAAACCTTACAAAGACATTTTATCTCATATTTAGATTCTCTTCTCATATAGACACTTTTTTCCTCTCAAACGCATACATTATCCTCTCACGTACATAGATTCTCACATATATACGTCATACTCTGACATTCTTCTCTAACATGTATAGTTCCTCGTCTTACATCTTCTTCAAACTTGGAAACAAAGTCCAGTGGATTGTTTCTTAAGTTTTTTGGAGCTCCTCTTACATGCATACATTCTCCTCTTACATATATATATGTCATATTCTCACATGAATACATCATACATGCAATCATTCTCCTATCAAATGCATTAATAATTCTGTTAGCATGCATACTTTCTCCTCTCACACTCATACATTCTCCTTCACAAGCATACATTCTCATCTCACACACATGAATTGTTCTCTAACATGCATACTTTCTACTCTTACATGCATACATTGTCCTCGGGGCTCCTCTTCCCTCCATTAAATACATTTCATCCCAATGCTGTGTATTCCAAGCCGATAACACTCCTCACTCCCCCACAATGGATGCCGCCCTCTGGGAAGAGGCTTTGCAGCATTTGATGCAGATCCAGAAGATTCTGCAACAGCTTCTTTCCCACTGCCATCAGACTGCTGAACTGTTGAAAAACAATTCCAAATCAAGTCAAAGACTCTGCATCAACCTCATAACACCAAACCAAAATGCTGCTTATTTGTACCAAATATATTTGTCTTGAAATGCTCTGAACTTCCGTACCAATGTGTTTTTGCACCATGTTTTTTTTCTACAACACTGTTTATTTGATCACTGCTGCACTTTATGGGACAGAAATGTTAATTTCACTGCCAAGCTGTTGTTCATTTACTGTCTGAAAGCTGTACAAAACAAAATTTCATTGTGTATACACTGTACAAAATGACAATAAAGATTGTCTAAGTCAAATGCATACTTTCTCCTCTCATGCATAAATTCTCCTCTTACACCCATACATTCTCCTCTCACGTGCATACTTTCTACTCATACTCGCATAGATTCTTCACTAACATGCATCCGTTCTCCTCTCACATATATGCATCATTGTCATGGTTTTATCTAAAGCTCGGACCCACATGCAGATAAACCAATTCAGAGAGACCAGGGGAAAAGGTTTAACAGGTTTTATTGAAGAGGTAATGCACGGTGCAGAGTTGCTCTGAACTCTGCTCAGCCAAAACTGGAAGGTGAGGGGAAGACACAGCGATTAGTTCAGGCTCAGTGGAAAATTTCATTCATAGATTTGGAGAAGAGGATCTGGTTGTTGACTCACGTTTCCAGAGAAGTTGTAGAATCTTTGACTCCAATCTGTGTGCTGTATTCCAGTGTTAGTCTGATTCGGTGGAGGGCGGAACAGGGTTTACCCAGAACATGGTCAGTTGTAGGTGCCACTCAGATTTCCTGCGGTACTTGAACGGGTTGTAGTGGAGATGATTCCCTTGCTCAGTGTGTAAAGTCAACGTCCTCTTTGGGAAACTGGATCCAAACCTCCAGTTTGAATCCCCAGGTTAGTTTGAGGCTCAGTTGATCCCTCCAGGGAGTGAAGGTCCGAAAGATCCAGTTTGCAGGATGACTTCCTGCCGAGAGGCAAAGACAAAAAACAAAGTTTAAACTCAGGTTGACAACAGCTCAGTCTTACTCAGCAGACTCAGCTTGGCTAGAGTACCCCAAACTGGCAAACACTTTGGCGTCGAGGTAGTGGCAATCAGCAGCTTAAGAGCACTCCGTTAACGAGGTAACCATCAGCAGGTGTGTGAGGAGGCGGACCAGAACCAGGCGCCTCCTGTTGGAGGAAGGGAGACAAACACAAAAAAACAAACACACAGACTGGAGCCCTGACAATCATACTCTCACATGCACACATACTTTCACATGAATATATCATACTTTCACATTCTCCTCTCAAAAGTACAGTCTTATCTAACATGCTTACTTTCTGCTTTTACACACATACATTCTACTCTCACACAAATACATTCTTCTCTCACATGCATACATTCTCCTCTCACATACTGGATATAAGTCTTACTCTCAAAACAATAGATTATACTTTCACATGCAAACATACTCATTTCAGACGCATACATCCTTCTCCAACATGCATACTTTCTCCTCCCACATACATACGTCATACTCTCACGTGCATATGTCATACTCTAACATGCATACAACACACTTTTACATGCATACATTCTACTCTCACATAGATACGTCATACTCTGACACACATACAGTCTTCTCTAACATAAATTCTTCTCTTACATACATACCTTCTCCTTTCACAAGCATACTTTCTTCTTTCACACAATTAAATTCTGCTCTCACACGCATACATTCTACTCTCACTGGCATACATACTTTTTTTAACCTGCATTCCTCTCTCACAGGCATACATTCTTCTCTCATACATACGTCATATTCTTACCTACATATTCTTCTCTAACTTGCATAAATTCTGCTCTTACAAGCATACTGTCTTCTCTCACATACATACAGTCTTCTCTCAGATACATATATACAGTACTCTAAATAAAAATAAA